AGAGAGAGAGCGATGAATTCAAGAAAAATATTGATTGGTTGCCTGCCGTAGGGGTTTGAACCTGCAAATGACTGGGAATCAAAATGGCAACCTTTTGGTGTATGGGATAATGCTCCAACCGAGCCACTGGGCGAAAGCACAGCATGCATTTATTAACAAATGACCTATTTTCCAGTCAAAATGTCTCTAAAATTTGAATAAATTATACCTGAGTATCAGAGATAGTGGAAAACTCAACTAAACTTTCAAATAATAATATAAAATACCTGCATCATCATACGTCTTCTAACTGTGTCAAAGGGATAAGAGAGTATTCCAGAGCATGTAGTCACAACTTGAGCAATGAAAAAGGAGACAAGAAATGGGGTTTCCTTTGGTTTGGGTAATAAGCCCTAGAAAAAAAAATGTATAAAGTAACTATCTAAATTTCTAAAGCATCTTAAATCTTAAGTCAAAGAATAACTCTTAAGAATATATGAAAGAAGGCTCATTTATATTTAAGATGCAATTAAAAACAGTTGAATTTAATGTGGAAAAACTGAAATATTAGCATGCTATCAGTTAGAAAGGAGAATGTCATACATGACTATACTATAAAAACATATTTGGGGGAAAAAAGCATATTTTCTAAATTGATTTGTCATTAATGGCACTTAAAACTAGGGAAGATAACAGCTAGTGACCAAAAAAGTTGTTCATGGCTCTTCACAGAGTTGAAAAAAACTGAAATAATAATGCCTGCTATTATCATCAAAAGATAATATTTGATAAACAGCTTTAAAGCACTAAGTTAGTGAAGAAACATTCCTAAATTTCACAGCTACTAGAGGTGCTAATAGAGCAAAGAGGGAAAGTGCACATAAACTTTTCCGTTATTAAGTAAATATACATAAGAAAAAGCACACTATAAACTAAAAGTTCTATGTCTGAACCATAATAAAAATGATATGCAACTATATTTAATAGAGGGTAGAGATAATATAGAAAACTATTATAAAACTTCCATCAACGTTTAATCTAATTTAGTAAACAATACTAATATTAATTTCATTGCCTAATTTTGGAAGCATTATGATATAGTTATTAAGGTAATGGGATATTTTGCTTGCCATGTACATAAATTACTTAACCACTCCTCAGTTATTTATCTTTAAAATGGGGATATTAAAAGCTATCCTTGCCCAGCCAGTGTGGCTCAGTGGTTGAACAAGTCACTGGTTCGATTCCTGGTCAGGATACATGCCCGGGTTGCAGGCTTGATCCCCAATAGGGAGTGTGCAGGAGGCAGCTGGTCAGTGATTCTCTCGATGTATGTTTCCCTCTCTCTCTCTCTCTCTCTCTCTCTCTCTCTCCCTTCTCTCCTCAAAAATCAATAGAAACATTTTTTTAAAAAGCTATCACAGAACACTGTGAGGATGTAAAGAACTTAATGAAGTTCCTAGAACTAATAGCTCAAAAATGGTAGCCATTGTTACATTCTTTTTCTTTCCTACCTTATGGAAATGATATTAAAATCTGAAATGAAAAGGCAATTGCTAAAACAATCTGGAGAATACAATAAAGAATCTAACAGTACCTAATAAACACCTGAGCTATAGTAGCATTTATTATATTTAACTAATTATGCCTTGCCTACTTTCTAAAATGGTGATAGTAAACTTACTATTTGCATATGAAAAATGAGATAATAAACTCAATGTAAAATCAGGAAGTTCTGTCAGAGCCTTTCTATATGTCAAAGAGTTGACTGTGATGTAAGCCTAACCAGAATGCTTCATATTTGCAATATGATGTATAGTGAGTTTTTCAGTGTAAACAGCAAAAAAACTTAACGTTTGGGTTTATGCTCTATATCTCAAATCAGATCCACAATAGAGTTATAATTTAGTTAGGTATGGCAAAGTCATGATTAAACAACTCTATAATGTCTCTTATTCCATCATTTATTTTGATTTATATAATTATAAGTAAACATATCTACTGAACATGTTACTAATTAAAACAATTAAACAATTAAAAATAGAACTCTTCTTTGACTCAGTAATCCCACTTCTAGGAATATATCCCACGAAATCAGAAACACCAATCAGAAAGGACATATGTACCTCTATGTTCATAGCAGCACAATTTACAATAGCTAAGATCTGAAACAGCCTAAGTGCCCATCAGCCGATGAGCAGATTGAAAAACTCTGGTACATGTACACAATGGAATACTATGCTGCTGTAAAGAAGAGAGAAATCTTACCATTCGCAACAGCATGGATGGACATGGAGAGCATTATGCTAAGCGAAATAAACCAGTCAGATAAAGATAAATATCACATTATCTCACTCATTTGTGGAATACAATAAACAACATCAACTGATGAACATAAATGGATCCAGAAACAGAGAAGCATCAAACAGACTGTCAAACTTCAGAGGGAAGGCGGGGGTGGTGGTGGTGGTAAGAGATCAACCAAAGGACTTTGTATGCATGCATAAAAGCATAACCAATGGACACAGATACTAGTGGGGTGAGGGCATGTGCGGGGGGGTGGGGGGATGGGAAAGGGAGATAGTGGCCAGGGAGGTCAATGAGGAGAAAAAGGAGACATATGTAATACTATATGTAATACTTTAAACAATAAAGAATTTAAAAAACGAAACGAACCATTTAATATATACTAAAGCCCCAAATTACCTTAACTGTGTCATAAACTCCAAAATAAGAGGCTCGGTACACAATGATGCCCTGTACTGAAACACCAAACCCTTGGTATAAACCAACAATTCCATCTGATTTTGCTATTTTCATAATACAGTCACCTAAACCCTTGAATTGTCGCTCTGCAGCACCTAAAATAAAGCCATTTAAAATTTATTAGCAGCATTATATATCAGATAAATACTTTATTTAAACATTTTACAGATTTAAAGTATTTGGAATTGCCACTTAAAAAATCTAACAAAATAAAAGCACACATCAAAATTCTCCCATTAGTTAACAAATAATTAAGGTTTCAAATAGTATCTTTAAATTTTTTAAAATATTAATCTCTTATAAAACCAATCTAATTCAAGCAACATGATAGGCTCAATAAAATTACCAGAAGTTCCTAGAAATGTAACAACTAGGAATTTAGAAATTTTTAGTTTTCATTAGGAATGAAAAACTTCATGACTTGTTTCAGTTGAAGAGCAAACAGACAAATAGAGCAAAAAGACAAAACTAAAAACTAGTAACTTAAGAATCATTAACATTTTAGATGGAGTGTCACAGTTTTTGAGTGTTTGTTGGTTTTGTTTTATTGTCCCCTGACTTGAACTCTTTGCCAATAATTGAAATATTATGTGTAGAATATAATTCTTCAAAATAAGCTAAATTCTCCCAATTTTCAGAGAAAACAAAACTACTGAACTTAAATAAGGAACATGAATTATTTTCACTTTCTTAGCAATAACAATAAAATTTGGACTGCCAGTTAAACATGATAAGATGGAACCCCTATTTTCATTTTTCCTCAAACTGTTATCCTTTCTGAGATATTTTCTCTGATCACTTATCTAAAATTGATGTCACTCCCTTCTCCTAATTTTGTTATGACATTTACTGCTAAGTGGCAGTATATTTTAGTCATTGCTTCATTGTTTTTTTACTTGTGTCCCCCACTACACTATAAGGTACATGAGCTGCAAATTCCATGTTTTATATTTTGTGTGTGTGTGTGAAAGTGACAGAGGGGAGGGGGGGAGAGAGAGAGAGCGCGCGCGCGCGCACATGCACACCTGGTTCACAGCATTCAATGGAGAAATATTTATTAAATGAATCTCTGCTCCCTTAAGACATTTTATTAAAATGATACTATATATATAAAGCCTAAGCAACTGTTCAACTGGTAGCTATGATGCACACTGACCACCAGGGGGCAGATGCTCAACGCACAGGCATGGAAGCATGGAACAAACTGATGAATCTCAAAGGGAAGGGAGGAGGTGGGAGGGTAGGAAGAGATTAACAAAGATCTTATATGCATACTAGAGGCCCGGTGCATGGATTTGTGCACTGGTGGGGCCACTCAGCCTGGCCTGTGGGGATCAGACCAAATCAGTGCACTGGGCCTCTGACATCCCCCGAGAGGTCCTGGATTGTGAGAGGGCACAGGCCAGGCCAAAGGACCCCACCAGTGCCTGAATCCGTGCACCAGGCCTCTAGTAAAGAAAACAGGTTTAAAGCCATATAGGCAAAGAAGAACATTGACAAAAATCCACAAATTTTAGCATGACGGGAAGGAGGTGGAGGAGTGGAACCTCACTAAGTAGAGAAAACTGAAACTTATTTTCTTGCAGAAGGAGATACTGTTGAGAAGAAAGCCCTGGACTCCAACCTCAGAAAAACTTAGAAATTAGGGGGACTAAGTACTGTACTATTCTTGTAGTGAAAGCAAAGTAGCATTTGGGTACTCAAAATCTACTTCACCCTGACCAGCCAAGTCTCTTTCTCCTCTGCCATCCTCAGAAATGAACATAAGGTTCCAGACTGAGTTGCCTCCACAATTACAGAAAAAAGACTCACACAAAGATACATCTTGTGAAATATCAGGTCATCAGGGATATAAGGTGATTAAAAAGAAAAAAAGATACATACAAAAGGATCAACAGTAAGAGATCGACTTCATAAGAGCAATATTAGAAACTAGAATCCAGAGTAATACTTTTTAAATTGTGAAAGAAATTAAATGTAAACCCAGAATTTTTTTATATGGCCAAGAATTAAGAGGATAAAACAGAGATATTTTTAAATAAGCAAGATCTCAACTTATCTCCTGTTCCACTCTTTTCAGAAAGCTCAGAAAGCTACTGAAGAACATAATCTACCAAAACAGTTGCATAACAAAAATATAGAAGATATGGTAAATAAAATACATAGGAACAGTGGGAAAAGGAATCTCTAGCATGAGAGCTGTACATATAACCTAGAGAGGAGTCATAGTTGAGGCAGGAGTAAGTGTATGAGGGATCTAGGAGGTGGCTCTCCAGGGAAATAAAAAAGAAAGTTTTAAACAGTTTTTATGTTTGCTCTTTTGTTACTAGAGTGTTGGCCTTCCCCTTCCCTCTTTTAAGGGAAAAGGAAAAAAGTAGTAATCTTTAGCCCCTATGACCTTACCATTTGGTTGAGAATACAATTTTTAGACTGTAACTAACACTTGTTACAGCATAATTTTAGAATAAATAATACATTATTCAAAACACAAAGAAGGAAGGGTCAGTATTTCTAAAAATCCCATACCTTTTCCAATATCAACACCTATTCGGGTTCGAGCAAAATCTAGTGGATATACTACACATAAGGATGTTGCCCCAGCTGCTCCGCCAGAAGCCAGGTTTGCCAAAAACCATCTCCAGAACTGAAACATATTAAATTAAAATGTGGTTATTAAACTACAGAACCTAACTGTGTGAAATCCTTATTTTTCTAAAGGCTGAAAGGCCAGATTTACAAACTGATTTTCTAAAGTAAACATCTGTAATAACGCATATCATACTATCCAGAATACTTGTCTACATGTCCTTTGTTTCTTACCAGGCAGTCTAGGAGGTACAGTTTAGAAGCTGACATACTGAAATTGCAAAATACTTTAATGGCCTCCAGAAAAAGTAGCCCAAATTAGCGAGAGTGGACACATGAGGTAATTATGCCTTTAGATTATATATACTATGCACTTTATTTATTTTTTAAAAATAAATTTTATTGATTTTTTACAGAGAGGAAGGGAGAGGGATAGAGAGTTAGAAACATCGACCAGCTGCCTCCCGCACCCCCCCCACTGGGGATGTGCACGCAACCTAGGTACATGCCCTTGACCAGAATCGAATCCGGGATCTTTCAGTCTGCAGGCTGACGCTCTATCCACTGAGCCAAACCGGTTAGGGCTATATGCACTTTAAATCTCAGCTAACCTTAGCTGGTTTGGCTCAGTGGATAGAGCATCGGCCTGGGGACCGAAGGGTCTCAATTCAATTTTGAACCCCAGTTTCAGATTCTTCCCCTCCCCAGCCCATACCCTGGTGGTACTGGTGCAGGAGGCAACCAATTGATGTGTTTCTCTCACATGGATATTTCTGTCTTTCCCTCTCTCATCCACTCACTCTAAAAATCAATGGAAAAATATCCTCAGGTGGGGATTTAAAAAAAAAAAAACTCAGCTAAATAGGTCCTTAGTAATAAAGAAGAAACAACTTGCTTTTTTAAGGAATAAATTACCTCAGAGTTAGAAATACATATCTCTTTTTAAAAAAATATATTTTTACTGATTTCAGAGAGGAAGGGAGGTGGACAGATAGAAACATCAATGATGAAAGAGAATCATTGATCAGCTGCCTCCTACATGCCCCCTACTGGGGATAGAACCTGCAACCCAGGCATGTGCCCTTGTCTGGGACCCTTCAGTCCGTAGGTCAATACTCTATTCACTGAGCCAAACCAGCTAGGGCAGAAATACATACCTCTTGCCTGATTTTTCTTTTTTGCTTAATAAAAGCAGGCAAAATGCTAAATTTTTCTAGTGTAGCAGTGATTATAAAATATAATTACATTAAAATTAATATTTATTCAGAGAAATACTGCTTTGAGACAAGAGATGCCTTAAATATTAAAACTGTGTTCAAAGAAATTTGTAAAAGTTGTGGTTTTCACATATAATTTATATAACTTAGAAATATTGTGTTAACAGTAACTGTTTTAAATATTTTTTTTTTTACCACGTGAGTACATCTGCCCATCATACGTAAGACAAACCAACCATTTCTTAGAAAATTTTAGAGATATTATCTATACTTGCCTGTTTTTCTTTATTAACTCCAGACATGAAAAGTTGTTTGTATTTGTCCTTAAAAGCAAAATTTAGAGCTTGTGTTGGAAAATACCTAATGACATTTGCAAGATTGCCACGCCAATAACTCAAGAAACCTACAAAAGAAAACATACTACATATAAACTTATACTGTATTATCATTAAATAATTCCCATAGCTTTAACAAACTTAGTTATTTGAACTATTTAAAAGCAAATCCATTTCTCATGAAAAAAAATTTATGTGTCTCCACTGAAGAAAAAAAGTAGTATTAACTCCATGTACTTCCATTTCAATTTTGTTAATCCTATCTAATGAAGAGAGAATATGCTAATTGACCCTCACACCTTTGCAAAGATTGGGCACCCACAGACAATAAGGAGGGAATATGCTAATTGACTGCCACGCCCTCAAAGATGGCAGTGCCCACAGCCACAAGATGGCGGCGCCCAGTCCCCTCAGCCCCGCTAGGGCGGAAGGTGCATGGCAAGGCCAGTCCCACCCCCAGGTGGGCCCGGCAGCTCTGTGTGCCTTCCTCTGGAGTCCCCCAGTCCCCTCAGCCCCAGGGCCAGCCCAAGGCACAGGCAAGCCTCGGATGGTGGCTGCCCAGCCATCCAGGGCCGCCCGAGGCTCAGGTAACCAGGGCTGGCTGAGGCTTGTGCTGCCGGCAGTGGCAGCAGCAGAGGTGTGATGGGGGCGTTGCCTTCCCCTGATCACCAGGTCGCCTCCCGCCCACGAGGGCTCCCGGACTGTGAGAGGGGGCAGGCCGGGCTGAGGGACACCCTCCCCTCTGTGCACAAATTTCATGCACTGGGCCTCTAGTTTCCAATAAAAAGCCTTGAATACCTAACAACCTCTGGAAAACCATTATCAGTTGAATATAGGTTTCTTCACTAGTTAGAAAAACAGTTCAGGAGTATTTGTCAGAGAAGTTAGTAACTCTAAGTGTCATTTCCAAATCCTGACATACAATTCCTATAGTAGTAAGGCTGCTAGAACAGAATTGGTTTGTATACATACTTATGAGAAAGAGAAAGTGACAGAAGTCTAAAGCATCCTTATCTTTACGTTCTGAAACCCAGACAGAAAAGGGAACAATTTATAATTGAAGGCTTGATAGAGAGATTGGAAGAAACTTTAGAGATTAATAATCTTCCCACTTCAAATCTCAATGGATTGACCAATCCTAATATGTGTTACCCTTATATTTCAGAGCTGCCTTTATAATCCAGAGCTGCCCCAGAATGCAACAGGCTTGCTCTTCAGTAGCCATAATTGTTTTTACTAGATTGCAAATTGTCAAATGGTTTCATCTTACTATTCTGAATAAGATACCTCTCCACCTAGCTTAGAGAACACCCAAAATCAGTCTTCTAAAGATGAACATTCAAATGAAAATAAAGACAACTCATAGAGAGCAGGCAGATAGCTCTGGGATGGGAGGGGGGATGGAGGGATTGAACAAAAAAGAAAAAAAGAGAGAACTCATGGACATGGATAACAGGTGGTGATTGTCGGGTGTGGGGAGGGAGATAGGGGGTGGTGGTGCTGGTGGAAGAGGGCATAGAGGGAATAAATGGTGATGGAAAAAATAAAATAATTTCAGCTTACTGGGCTGGTACTCAGAACCTGAAAGTTAAATTAGTGTAGTACACAGAGGGAAAGATACTTATCTGCTAAATAAGTAAGTATATTTAGTGGGGGAAAATCCCCAGAATCTTGGTGAACCATAATCTGAATATAAAACAGTTGCACATGAGGTAGGTACTATTAGTCTCTTCATCTTAAAGATAAAAAATGCATTCCCTCAGACTAAAAAAAAATCTATCCTCTGTTCAAGCATAGAGGAATAAAATTTGCCACCCCAAAATGTGTCTCTGGAGTATTATTTTGGGCTGATTGTTTTTAAGAAACAAAAAGCTAGAAGGCTTTCTAAATTTATTTTAACCTTCTCCTTAATTACCAGAACAAATTTAGAGAGAGGGCTTGGTACAGGAAGAGAATTATCAAAGAGTATAAGCTAGGTATGATAAACTGGTGGTAGCTGGGCAGGATCTGTTTGTTCAAAGTCTCTTCAGTGCCCCATTACCTCAGCAAAACACAACAAACATTTGTTTACAAAATATTTGCTTTTCCTATCTTCCTGTAAATTTTCTTCCTCCCATTGGAAGACCCAACCCTACCCCATTCTTCTTAGCTCAGAATGGACATATAAGCCTCAACTGTCTGCCTGTGGTTCTCAGATTTTTATAGGGCCATGTATGTACCCAATTAAATTTGCTTTTCTCCTGTTAAAATGTCTTCTGTTAATTTGATTATCAGAGTATTCAAAGATGCTAGAGGGGTAGAAAGAAAATTTTTGCTCCTCTACACAAGTTTATCCCAGATGCACTTATTTACAAATGAACATCAGAAATACATGTTTACAAATTTATGAATGCATACATAATGACTTAAAGAGTTAAAATTTACTGAGCACTAACTATGCAATAGACACATAATTGAATATTTTATAGGCAGTATCTTGTTTAATCCTCACAACTACCACATCATCAGGTATGTAGCATACAACTGAGAAAATTGAGGCTGAGAGGTTAAATAAAAACGGTTTAAGTTCACAAGGTAAGGGAAGGGCTGGAACTTGATTCCAGTTCTGACTCCAACCTAGAGCTATTAAATCTCTACTGCCTCTCTATAAAATTCATTCTCAATAAAAAAACAAGCCTGTTTTAGGTCAGAATAAAAAAAGGGAAAAGCAGTCATACAGATTAAAAGGACACTTTCCTAATATATAGAGTGTCCCAAAATATGTATACCAGTTTGAATAATTATAAAGGCAGTATTTATAAAATACATTTCATTTTCCAAATTGAGGTGTCAGCTGTTAAAGTGTGTGTATACATTTTTTTGGGACACTCTGTATAATCACAAAATTGGTAGAGAAAAACATAGCAACTGTGGTATCTTTGATAATATCAGTATCTTAATTGCTCAGAAAAAATAATCTCTTCAAAATTTAAGGGCAAGAAAAAACATACTCTGAACTTAATTCTGAGAAAATAATCAAGAATTAAAATAGAACTGATGGGAAATAGGAAGCAGTTACTGGCCATTTACTGGTCAATTTACAGCCAATAATGGGAATGCTAGGCACAGTTAGAATATATTCTAGACTAGTGGGTCCCAGTATGTTTTGGCAGAATGCCTATCAGTAAAAATATATGTAGCCTATCATAAATATGTATACATTTTTAAAAGTCATATGCCTTTGCTAGTATACCTATTATGTAGTATACCAAAAATAGAAATTAAAGAATAAGATAAAGATTCCTCACTTAAAAAAACTTTATGTCAAGTGGTCATAAGAACAAAAATTGTATATGGAGATGGAGAATGACAAAGAGCTACTTAAATAGGTTGCTTGGGGAAAACTTATTGCTGGGAGGTATTTGAATATAAATGAGCACTTATTTGAACCATTAGAACATATTTTCATATATCTTGCTAATTATAATGTTTTTTAAAAAATATGTATTTTTATTGATTCAGAGAGGAAGGGAGAGGGAGAAAGAGATAGAAACATCAATGATGACAATCACTGATTGACTGCTTCCTGCATGCCTCCTACTGAGGATTGTGCACACAATCTGGGCGTGTGCCCTGACCAGGAACCAAACGGGGACCTACTGGTTTATAGGCTGACTCAACTACTGAGCCACATGATGTTTTTATGCCATCATTTCCTACTATCTTAAGGCATCTTTAGAGCGAGGTTAATTTTTAAGAATAGTGTACATTATATTTCAAATATTCTTGTTGATAATTTAAAATATTCAAATAGTCTTCTTGTCTCTGTAGATCCATTTAGCTGAGCAAACATAAACTATAACATGTTTATTATGTAATACCTGAGGACAAGTGCCTGTTATCCCCTCTACATTGTGGAACTAACCCCTACTCCTTTTTTAGAATGCCTTAGTGTCCCGTGATATGTAACTGACTTTTGGCCCAATTATAAATGCCAGTGCCAATTCACACACTAAATATCAGTAAAGCTTATTTTCTCATTTTATTTAAATAAAGTAAATATCTAATGTTATTTGCATGTCCCAAAACATTCTTCAAATAAAAACTTCACTGCTCTAGCCTTCAAAAAAATAAGTTTGGAAAAGTTTAGATTAAAGATAGCTGATGAACTCATGGCCAGGAACACCTAAATGAGAAGAGTTCTGGTAGGCTCTTAAAAATGAGACTGCAGAGTTCAGATTTTTAAAAGGCTATTTCACAATATATTAAATACAACAACTGCTTTAATTAAGAATATATTTCCATATGCATATTTTGCTCAGTGAAACATCACAGCACAGACACCAAAATGTTAACTGTGGTGATTTTAGCAGTTATTTGTTTTTACTTTTTTGCTTCTCTATTTTTTCTAATTGTCTATAATAAACATGCATTACTTGTGTAATACAAATTTAAACAGTATTAAATAAAACTGCACATACAAAGTTGAAGATCAGCCCTGGCAGTGACTGGAGAACTGAAGTGTCTTGGTTTCAGTTCCTGGTCAGGGGCACATACCTGGGTTGCAGGTTCGATCCCAGGCCCAGTTGAGGTGCCTGTGAGAGGCGACCAATTGATGTCTGTCTCTGTCTCTGTCTGTGTCTCTCTCTCCTTCCCACTACTTCCTCCCTCCTTCCCACTCTCCCTAAAATCCTCAGGTGAGGATTAACGGATTAACAAAACAAAACAAAAAACCCCACAAAGTTGAAGATCATAAAACCAACTGAAGAATAGAGTAAATCTTTCAGAACAGCATTATTCAGGATAAATCCAGAAGCTTTCATAATCCAAGGAAAGCTTATAAAAAGTATCAAAGACATCCAGAGAGATGTTTAAAGCTATGTTCAGAGCAAGAATAGAGAAATCTATCCTTGGGCTAGAAAGAAAGCAGAGGTGTTTACTAGAACTATGCCCAGATAGTTTGTATTTAGATTAAATCAGAGTTAGGTTAGGTTCTCAACCTTCCTAATGCTGCGACCCTTTAATACAGTTCCTCAAGTTGTGGTGACCCCCAATTTCATTGTTACAAATTGAACATAATTAAAGCATAGTGATTAATCACAAAAACAATATGTAATTATATATGTGTTTTCCGATGGTCTTAGGTGACCCCTGTGAAAGGGTCATTTGACCCCCAAAGGGGTCGCGACCCACAGGTTGAGAACCCATGGGTTAGGCAGGGGTGGGCAAACTTTTTGACTCGAGGGCCACAATGGGTTCTTAAACTGGACCGGAGGGCCGGAACAAAAGCATGGATGGAGTGTTTGTGTGAACTAATATAAATTCAAAGTAAACATCATTACATAAAAGGGTGCGGTCTTTTTTTTTTCTTAGTTTTATTCATTTCAAACGGGCCGGATCCAGCCCGCGGTCCGTAGTTTGCCCACGGCTGGGTTAGAGGCTTAGATAATCATAAACAGGTTTTACTGCTACAATATCCAGTAGAAGAAATCTGAGTCTTTCAGGATACAGGATAAGTCTTCCTTGTGCAGGGCTGGCCATGTATAGCAGCAAGATGCTTAGCCTCCCTGGATTTTATCTTTCACGTTATTACAATTAAAGATTACACCCCTCTATCTTTGTGCTAACTAAAAAATTCCCCACAAGTTTCACAAAAAGCCCCTAGATGGCAATATTAACCCTGTTGTGAATTATTAGCCTTTTACTGTAGGATATATACTGTGGTGTATTCATAAGAAGGCCCTGTATACAAGAATAGGAAACATCTTCAAGTTCTGCTTTTATCATCTCATCTTTGAAGGTATAGAAACCAGAAACCAAAATACTATTCAGAATGATTGCAATTTATAAGAGCCATATTGAATATGTTCAGATTTAAATATTACCAAGAACATTTAAAATATAAATCAGCACTGGTCAGCACAATCTGACCACAATATTTAACTTCACCCGACTAAATATGCAAAGTAGATTAGCTAATAATAAAGCAGTCCTACTTCTCTGAAGAGGTTTTAGAATATAAACTAAGGAGAAAGACGTTCCTACTTTTCTAGTAAAAACCTTAAAGGAAATGGGGAACTTGCTCTAATAAAATAAATGGGGTGTGGAGAATGTGAACCACTCTTATGCTTTCTGGGTTCTGCTCTCAGATGGGCATTTAAAATTCATAATTTAGACGATGCCTTAAGAGTCTACTTTGGACTCTACATATTGTGCCCAACAGATTTATCCCTAGGAAGAGAACGCTCTTTTTTAGGAGAGTATACCCTGACCCAGACTTAAGAGTGGAAGAGGGAACTGCACTGGAGTTGAAGCCACATCATGTCTTGTTCTGAACACACAGAACAAGACATGACGGGGGTCAATAGGCCTATTTCCTTTTTAAAGTTCGTACAGAGCCCTAACCGGTGGATAGAGCGTCCGCCTGTGGACTGAAGGGTCCCAGGTTCGATTCCGGTGAAGGGTATGTGTCTGGGTTGCTGGCTCCGTCCAACGTGCAGGAGGCAGCCAATCAATGATTCCCTCTCATCATTGATGTTTCCCTCTCTCTCTTCCTTCCTCTCTGAAATCAATAAAAATATATTTAAGAAAAAAAAAAGTTCGTACAGAGTTTTCAATTGAATCCAACTATATGGATGGATAATAGAAGACTTCTGATAAGTTTATCCTGACATTCTCTGAGCTAACTTAGGAGCCATTTTGCAACCGGAAGGCATTTAATGGCTAACAAAGCACTTTCATTATTTAGCCCTTGAAATCTTTCTTTCAATATTAATGGGGGGGAGGGGAGGGAGAGGAGACTCCACAAAAACATTAAAATTTTAAACAAAGACAGGATCTGATGCAAAAGAAAAATTGGTAATACTGATCCTGTCTTTAAAATTTTATTTTGCTCATCTTGGATTTAAAAAAATACTGCATTAAAATATTATTTGTCAGCCCTAACCGGTTTGGCTCAGTAGATAGAGCTTCAGCCTGCGGACTCAAGGGTCCCAGGTTCGATTCCGGTCAAGGGCATGTACCTTGGTTGCGGGCACATTCCCAGCAGGGGGTGCGCAAGAGGCAGCTGATCGATGTTTCTCTCTCATCGATGTTTCTAACTCTCTATCCTTCTCCCTTCCTCTCTGTAAAAAATCAATAAAATATATTAAAAAAATTATTTGTCTTTATTATGTTATTTTGCTCCCCCCTCATATCTGTGCAGAGGTGACTGCCTCTTCAGTAGTTTTCAAGAATAAACAGAACCCCTTTTCACCGAATAGGGATCAGAGTACCGGGAGGCCCCAATGGTCCCATATTTGGAGAACATAGTATTTCAACAAGTATTTAAGCAATCTGGACATTTGTTAACACACAGCAAAATGCTTAATAGCATCTCCTCTCCTCTAATTTTGGGAGTCAAACACTGCCTTCTGCGCCAAGGTGTATGTAAATCCTGCTGCGAAGGAGAAATTTAGAGAAAGAGAAGGTGTTCTTCCCTGCACTAGGACTGGTCACGTGCAGGCCCTGGGAAAGCAGAGCCTCTTAGAATAGTTACCATTCTTGAATTTTTCAAGTTGAAGAAACAAATCCATCACCCCCCAACGGACACGGCCCTGGCCCCTGCAGTTGTCCCCTCCCGATCCACGGGGGTGGGGGTGGACTCACCCTGCTCGCGGGGAATGCGCAGCAGACAGTCCACTATGCCCTTGTACTGCCTCTCGGGGGAGATCTGCTTGGACGACGCCTGCACCTGCAGCAGAAGCTTCACCCGCTCGATGGGCGCCACGGCCGTCTTGGACACAGCCGCCGCCACTCCGCCAGCCAGCAGGTCCTTCCCGAAGGACAAGGCATCAAAGAACCGCTTTTCTGTCTTCTTCTCTGGCTTCTTCTTCGGGGGGTCACGCTGCATGGTGGGATGACGGACGTAAAAATCCAGCAGCAGCAGGCTGAAACGTATTCGGAAGAGGCGAAGGGAAGCAGAAAACCGCTTGAGCGTCGTCCTGGCGGGAAAGCGGCGCTGAGGATGCTGGGAGATGGGCGCACCACGTGGGGCGGGGCCGGGGAGCTGCGCATGCACTTCCAACCGCCTGCCGCCACCGGTGCGGGCCACGTGACTCCCGACACGTAGCTACCAGCGCGTGCACTTGTGTGTGTGCGCGCGCGCGCACGCGTGCTGTCTGGGTAAGTGTAGGTGCCCGAGTGTTTCCTTGCTGCCGGGAAGAAACCCGTGGCTTCTGAGCCTCGAAGAGCTATTTCTCTATGAAGATAGTGTGCAAATTGGAGCAGAGCAGTGTGGGATGAACCGAGGTTAGTTTTAGTTCCCAGGGTTACTCTTCATTTTTCTCTTAGAAATCGCTTTAATTTCTGCTCCTTTCATTTTGCAGAGGTCACTTAGTCACATTGTCACTGCTTTTGCTGCTTGTACCCCGGAAGCATAAGTCAACATGTTCTTTCTCCTTTATTTTACTGAAATTGGCCAATGCCATCTAGAACAGTGCCTCTCAGTCCAAACTGCACATTCAGAGGAGATGGAGTGGCTTTTCATGTTACAGCTTGGGTTTAGGCAGTGCTCATGTGCAGGTTGCCAGTGACCTGTTCTAGAACAGAGGTTCACAAACTTTTTTCTTTTTTTTCGTACACACCACCCAGGTTTTTATTTGTTCCCTAAGCCGAGTGCGCTCTGTACAGACGCGCAGGAGACAAGGAAAACACACGTACCTGGCGGCGCTCGGAGGGCGGCCTTGAGGGCCCTCCGCTGGCTGGGGACCCCCAGAAGCCACTCCCGGCCGCCCCACGCTGTGTCCCTCCCTCCCTCCCTCCCTGGCGATGCAACCCGCAGAGCCAACCCCGCAGGGAGCGCGAGAAGCTTCCAGTCCAGGCGCCACGACCTTCTTCCAGCGCCAAGGCCCTGCCTCCCGGTTCACAAACTTTTTGTTTTTGTTAATCCTCACTCCAGGATATTTTTCCATTGCTTCCCAGAGAGAATGGAAAGGAGGGAGGGAGGAATGGGGAGAAACAGAGAGAGACAAAGAAACAGAAACATTGATGTGAGAGAGACACATTGGTTGTTTGCCTTCCCACACACCCCCAACCAGGGCCCTCCCTGATCAACCTGCAACCCACGTACTTGCCTTTGACCGGAAATTGGACCCTCCACCCCGTGGTGCGCAGGGCAATGCCCTAACCACTGAGCACACCTGCCAGGACCAAACGATTTTATTCTAGGACCCCCGTTTTCACTGTTAAAAATTAGGAGCCCAAAGAAGCTTCCGTTTTTGTGGGACATAAATTGATATGTGCCATTTCAGAAATTGAAACAAAATGTAAAACTGTTAATTCATTTAAAATAGTAACACAAATAATTAAAATATTTTTTCAAAACAAAAACAAATGTAGTGAGGAGCATAGCCTTGTTTTATATGTGGAAAGCTCATGTCTGAAGAAAAGACAGCTGGATTTACATAACTGCTGTCCCGCCTGTGGCAGTGTCACACCCCATGTGGCTGCTAGAGCACTTACACAAATGAGAGAATGATAGTGACACTGGCAGATGTTATCTTAGTTTTGACCTCAACGGAGGCCCAGACGTCTTGGTGACACCTACACTTCTTCCCTCCTGCACTTTGAGAACTCCTCTGAGGCTGAGCAGACTCAGGTTTGACTTCTTTGGGCAAGAATACTCACTCAGTACATCATGCCTGCCTCCATTTCCTTCCACCTCCCTTTTTAAAAAAATCGTATATCCTAGAGATCCCTCTACAATAGATTCCTGATTCCTTTTGATAGCCTGTTTGATAGTTTCTCATACATGGAGACACTGTGTTATCTCTTACTCTGTAGGATCTGCAGCCTTGAAACACACCCAGAAAACCCAAGATGAGTTATTGACAATTTTGAACTTACGTCCTAAGTTTTTTTTCATTATCTTAAGTGTGTTTTAACACTTTTCATGCTACTAGTAAAAAACCAAATATGTAGGCCAAAAGGATTCCAGAGTAGGAATCTATATATATAAAAGGCTAATATGCAAAGTGTCCCCTTGGGTATTTGGTTGCGCATTATGATGTGTGCTGACCACCAGGGGGCAGCATGGAACAAAGGAAGGCCCTAGCCAGCAGCCAGAAGGCCCCAATAGGCCCTGATCGCCAGCCAGGCCTAAGGGCCCTACCAGTGCACGAATTTTGTGTTCCAGGCCTCTAGTTTTGTTAATATTTTGATTACCTCACATAAAAGGTTGGCAAGTCCTACTGGTCTGGTGTTTCATGCTACTTTCCTTTCTATAGCTTCTTATTCAGTTCTTAACTAGTTTTTCAGCCCAAGTCTCTCTCCATTTTACGTGTTGTTGCCAGATTAATCTTTCTGAAGAAATTGGACTAGTCCAGTGATGGCGAACCTTTTGAGCTCGGCATGTCAGCATTTTGAAAAACCCTAACTTCACTCTGGTGCCGTGTCACATATAGAATTTTTTTGATATTTGCAACCATAGTAAAACAAAGATTTATATTTTTGATATTTATTTTATATATTTAAATGCCATTTAACAAAGAAAAATCAACCAAAAAAATGAGTTCATGTGTCACCTCTGACACGCGTGTCATAGGTTCGTCATCACTGGACTAGTCATTATTCATAGGTTTAAAAACATTAAAGTCTTCTCATTACATTGATTTTAAGATCCTTTGTGAAATCAAGAAATAAATGATGGTGTCTTATTTGCAAAACTCTGAAAAATGACAGTTTCAATCTTACAGGGAGTTTGAAGAGTTAACAAGCACTCAGGGAGAAATTTAAGGGGTGATTGATTACCTGAATCCCACTCCAAGGTGCCAAGAGTGGTCAAAGGAAACATCTCTGGTCGCAGGGAACATGAGTATCTCAGAGGACAGAAAAGCAAATGTTCAGCTGCTCCCTGGGGCCGTGCTCTCTTCCTTCCTTTCTAGCCTCCCTTTCCCCTTACCCCTGCATTTGACTCAATACAGTTTATAACATAATAGAGGCCCAATGCACGAAAATTCGTGCACTGGAGGGGGTGGTCCCTCAGCCCAGCCTGCCCTCTCTCACAGTCCGGGAGCCCTCAGGGGATAAGCAGCAGTCTGGCCTCCCTCTGCAGGAGGCGACTGGGCCGATCAGGGGAAGGCGCCGCCTCCATCACCCCGCTGCTGCTGCCACTGCCGGCCACCATGGCTGCCTGCCCTTGGCCCTTGCAGCCGCCGTGGCTTTGTCCGGAAGGATGTCCAGAAGGACATCCATTCTATCTGGTCTAATTAGCATATTACTCTTTTATTAGTATAGATTCCTTTATGATATCCTCAAGCTTATTAACTTATGGTATATATTCACTGATAGAAGACAGCAAAACTGAAAGTACTTACAAATATGGCTTTTTATTCCATATTTTTATTCCACTTTAAGAACTTTAGATCAGCTCTTTCAACAGACTGAGCTGAAAATGTTTAACTTGCTGCATTGCATTTTATTTACTGATTTAGGGAACAGACTCAGTTCTGGTGATTTATGTGTTAATATTAAATTAAGTATAGAGTCTCATGGCCTTTGTGCTCCTCACTCCCATGAGGGTAGGGATTTTTATTTGTTTTTTTTTCCCCAGCATCCAGAGCAGCGCTTGGTACAGAGTAAAAATTCAATAAACATTTTTTGGACCAATGCATGAAAAGGCAACACAACCACAAACTCCAAACCATCTTTATTAAAAACTATCAATACAGTATAAAAATAGCTTCAATTATATGGAATATAGAAATATAGCTCTACAAAATTAAATTATTTTCACACAATTTAGTGTATAGACTAAACTTTAGTCCCTAAAGTTTTAGTAACATTTAATAATATTTTTAAAAAAACAGCCAAAGTATAAATCCTATTCTCAAAAATGTTTAGTGCTGAATACTTTTCCTCAGCTTCTTTCCAACATTTTGTACAGTAGCAGGTATGATTTAGCTGACTCCTTGGCTTTCAACCAGTGGATATTTGATTAATAATAGTAGCAGCAGCTAACACTTTTATAGCACATAACATGTGCCAGCACTATTTAGAGGGAACCCACACACACAACAAACAATTTATTCACAATATTTTCAAGAATGCTCAAAGCAGACAAACCTACTAAGTTGGTTTCACAGGTTTTCCCATTTGTATTAGAAATATAAAAAAGCAGGCACTGCAAATTTACTATCTTGCCTGTAGGCATCATCATTAAAGTCCCTTGGCACAAAGTCCCTTGCTGAGTATAGTTCTTTAACCCCATAAAAATAAATCAACAATAGCTAAAGAAAAGGGAGGGAGGAAAGGCAGTAGACTCTAAAATGGAATTGTGGGGAGTTTAAAATACAGGGTGGGACAAAAGTAGGTTTATAGTTGTGAGTATGCAGAAAACAGCTTATTCTTATATTTGCCCCACCTTGTATATGATGGTGATAAGACAGTACTTGATATTTTTTAAAATGGCAATTATATAATCTTTTGCATCAATAGGCTTTGGTGAAAGGGCCCATTTGCAGGATGCTAACAAAATCCAACTTAATGTTTCTATACCTGCCAAAGAGTATATACCTCTGTGGTTTCTGCACTGTCACTTTGTCTCCTTTATTTAATAGAGTGGCAGATAAGTATTTATTGTCCAGTATTCAAACTAATCTATTTTCAGATGTGACTTAGAACATATTTGGAAAAAAGGTATACTAAGTTTATTTGCAATGTTTACTTTAATATCCATTTAGAGATGAAAACCAAGATGATGTTTGGTTTCATTTTTAAAAAATGTAATGTCTTTACAATGTGGACATTACGGTATACATCTATAACATAGCAAATGATTTCTCCTTATTAAGATCTGTAGTTTGCTTTATCTTTTTGTTTCAGTTTTTGAGTGGTGGTCAGTATGATTCTTTGATACCAGAAAAGCAGTTCAATAGACTAAAATTTTATTAAATGAAGAAAAAAAAGCCTGCTATGATAAAACCCCAAGTTTTCAGTCTGTTTGAAAATCTGAGGTGATAAGTAGCTGCATTTATTAATAATTCTCGGTATTAAAAAAAGATCATAGTTTTTTTTTGGAAAATATCAAGAAATTTAAGACATTTAATAAATATTTTTAAACACAGTGCCTTAATACCCATGATACTTTAATGCCCTGAGCTCAGAGAAGTGCCCTTGCTCATGGTTACAGCACTAATTGTTACAGGACTGGTCACGTTCTCTCAATTTCCTGACTCTTTCACCAGATTCAATATTAGTCTTGAGATAAATACACAACGAATTGAGTATTTTTCCAAGATAAATATTTCTATATTAATTTTACATAAAACACTTCACATTATTTCAAACTAGTCAATAAATTAATGTTATATACCAAAATGGAAATAAGTTAACAACTCCTTCTTCATATTTTGATCAAGTATCTTTTCAAAAGTCTCACAATACTACTTAAGATCTAGTGCATCAAATCCAACAGCATATGATCTCAATATTTAACAATATTAAGTTCAGTGAAAAGAAACTAAACTGTATCTTCTGTGTATGGATTTCAGCAATCCTAACACTGCTCAGTGCTTCTTATTGTACAGTGTGCTGTGTAGCAAGAAAACAGTTACAAGGTCAATCCAAAGAACAACTTAAAAGCCATTTCAATGGCAATTTCTGTAACTGAGTCATGAAAACAGACATAAAGTTCTTGAACTTTGGGATGAAGAAAGAGTCTCCTGTAGAGGAAAAGAAAACATTTATTTTAGAAATTCAAATAACAAAGAAAAGTTAAAACTTTCCATTCATTTTATTTTATTTATTTATTTTGTTTCTGAAAGTATCAGTAATAAAACACTAATCCAAATCTCCCCGTACGGGCCACCAAAAACAAACAAACAAACAAGCAAGCAAACAAACAAACAAAACCACTAATCCAAATCTATAGTAGAGGGAAATGCAGCTAGATTTACTTTTAAATAAATGATATGTGCCTTAGGTCAATTATTTTTATTTTTCTACAGTGTAAAAAGCGTATTTTATCAATATGTTTTACCATATCCCTGTTTTTAAATATTAAATTTAGTCATTGTTATTATGGTAAAGCCAATGGTGATACCATCATTTTAAGTACAAGTTATTAAAGATTGACATTTACTTTCTAAAAGTTAATTATTATTAAAATATTAAATATATGATAGTTCTTTTTGCAGATAGTATTGAATTGGGATTAACAATGAAATTTTACCTGGTTTTCTTTTTTAATTTAAATATGTTTTTATTGATTTTAGAAAGAGGAAGGGGGAGGGATAGAGAGATAGAAACATTAATGAGAGAAGACCATCTATCAGCTGCCTCCTGCACGCCCCCTACCGGGGATAGAGCCCACAACCCGGGCATGTGCCCTGACCAGGAATCGAACCTCTTAGTTCATGGGTCAATGCTCAACCACTGAGCCACACTGGCCGGGCTGTTTGGTTTTCTTAAAGAGTTAAAATCTATTTAATCAATACTATGTAAATCAAACTAAGTCAGCAGTTCTGCCTGACTTCCTTAAATGTCTCTATTCTACATAGACCTGCATCATCAGAATTCGACACCTCTTGATTCTTTCTATTCCAATTGTTGTGAATACAGTTAACTGTTCCACTGCACACTGTGTGTGTGCCTAACTATTCCTATCTCTATTCTCTCGTGTATCCATACCATTCCATTTGCTGGAATGCTTACTTATCCAATAGCACAGCTCTGATCACACTACAGAACTGAACTGATGCTCCCAAGCTGGGTTGGTTATACATCAGAATTACAAGGGAGCTTATTGGGGTAGGGTATAGGCATCTCTGAGTTTAACAGGTGTCTCAGGTGATTCTAATCCCATGGACCGGCACACAGGAATTACTGCTTTGGATAATGTTTGTAAAGTGTTTGTCATACAATTTAGTACTACATGGTAGGTGTCCAGTTGGTGTCACCTAACTTCCTGCCCCTTCCTCCACCACGTCTTTACCCCCAACTAAGAGACCCTTCATTGGCTCAGTATTTCCCTCAAAATTTAATTCCTTAGAATTGAAGGCTCTCTGCTTTCCAGCTTGGTCTTTTTCACTTTCTCTTTGGCAGTGGTCGGCAAACTGCGGCTCATGTATATGGTATATGGCATTCTTTTACCATTCTGGCAAACCAGTCTACTCACTGCTATGCCTTATGATTTGTTCATCTCTTCTTTTTCCTAAAATGTTTTATTCAAATCCAATTAATTTTCTAAACCAGATCAAATGGAATCTCTAAGCCTTTCTTTGTAATCCTAGAGATTCCCATAGCATTTGGTTGTATCAACTAATTTATTCTATCTATCTAGTCTATCTCCATATTCTGTAATAATAAGTGTAATATGCTAATTAGACCGGACGTCCTTACAGACCTCCTTCTGGACAAAGCAGAGGCCGTGAGGGAAGCCCGGGTCCTGGGTGGCTGCCGGTGGCTGAAGGGAAGCCCAGGTCCTGGGTGCCGGAGGGAAGCCGGTGCCGGCAGCCGGGGGAAGGAAGGCCTACTCTTACACCAATTTCGTGCATTGGGCCTCTAGTATATTCATAAATACATAGATATATGAGCATAGTTCATATTTCTTCTGCTAGATGTAAGACTGCTAGATACAATGAGTGTGAATTTATCTTTCTGTTTGCCATAACACCCACCCACCACCACAGTTTGCCAAGCACAGTTCCATTTACTAAATTGTTATATATTTATCAATATATGTGTTAGGTGCCAGTGGTCAAGACAGATATGATTCCTGACCTCATAGAGCTAACATTCTAGTGAGGGGGAGAAAGACCATAAACAAATAAGAAAATAAATAATAAAGGGGTTATATAATAGAGCGTAACTGAGTAGCCATGTTAATACAGGAAAGAGATTATGGATCCTCTCTTTGAGGAGATGACTTCTTAGAACTGGTCTGAATCTCAAGGAGCTGGACATGCAAAGGTTAAGAGGCAGAACAGCCAATACACAAAGAATAGCAAAAACAAGATTTGATTGATGGGTGCCAATGTGGCTATGCATATGGGATGGAGGAGGAGAGTGACAGAAGGTAGAACAGAGAGGTGGGCAGGGGCCAGGTCAGGCAAGGACTTGTAGTTGGTGGGGAATGAGGAGGAGGAGAACAAAGGGAAGAGGGCAAGAAAGGATAGAAGTAAAGGAGGAAGTAGGGGTAGAAGGAAATAGCTATAAAATTGTGAAATCATTTTTTTTTTAGTTTATCACTAATATAATTTTGTAAAATAAGAAAGCTATTTGTTTATTTTTAAATATATTTTTATTGATTTCAGAGAGGAAGGGAGATAGAACCATCAATGATGAGAGAGAACCACTCCTGACCCCACACTGGGGATCGAGCCTGCAACTCAGGCATGTGCCCTTGACTAGAATCGAACCTGGGACCCTTCAGACCACAGGTCGATGCTCTATCCACTGAACCAAACCAGCCAGGGCAAGCTATTTGTTTTTAATAGAAAAGACTTGAGAGGAATTTAAAGGAGATACTTAGTAAATAAAATTCTAAAATATATTAAAATATTATAGTTAGATTAATAATTTCATGCCTACATCCTAAAACTTTACCACATTTCTTTCACTTTTCTAACATTTTACTTCACTTTCAAATATTTTTTTCCACTTACCCTACTACCCAATAAGCCATAACTGGTGGTGCTTTTCTCTGGTCAGTCCAGTTTTCAGGTGAGCATTCAAACAACACTCCATGTTCTTTCACAGGGTTTAGAGAAGACACCAAATTTGTAGAACCTGAGTGATCTGCAGTGTTTAGTGCTTTCTTTTTCTGTAAATTAATAGATATTATTAGTATTAACTGATATTAATAGTGCTGATCCTAGCACTTAAGAGCCTGCAATAATATTCTTCTTACCTGCAGGAAAATTTTTACTTTTTCTCATACTTTAAATACCATCTCCTATAAAAGACTTCATAGATAAAAGTATCCCTTGACTTTTACAGGGAACATTTTGTTCATAGTCCTGTATTAGTATTTATGTTATATTATATTAGCAGTTTATAGGTCTTTCTTCCCCAGTACAGGATAAGCTTCTTTTCCAGGCAGAGACAATATACTTCTCATCTTTGTTGTTGTTGTTGTTTTTTTTTTGGTTAATCCTCACCCAAGGATTTTTTTCCCCATTTATTTTTTATTTTTTAGAGAGAGGGGAACGGAGGGAAGAGGAACGAGAGAGGGGGAGAGAGAAACATTGGATGTAAAAGAGACACATCGACTGGCTGCCTCCCACATGCACTCTAACCAGGTGGGGGATTGAACTTGCAACCCAGGTATATGCTCTTGACCGGTAATCAAACCCAAGACCCTTCAGCCCACAGGCTGAAGCTCTCTAACCACTAGCAACCAGCCAGGGCATCTTTGTAGTATTTTTTTTAAAAAAAAAACAATCCTCACCAGAGGATATTTTCCCACTGATTTTTAGGGAGAGTGGAAGAGAGAGGGAAGGACAGAGAGAAATATCTATGTAAGAGAAACACATCGATTGGTTGCCTCCTGCAAGCCACTATGTTTCTTGCAATGTTTCTTGCCCCGACCAGGGACTAGGCCAGGGAGGATTCTGCAACCAAGGTACATACCCTTGACTGGAACAGAACCCAGGACCCTTCAGTCTGCAGGTAGAAGCTCTATCCACTGAGCTAAACCATCTAGAGCTGTATTTTTTTTTAAGTTGTTGATACATAGTAGGTACTTAATGAATGTATTAATAATGAGTAGATTACTGTGTAGACTAGTAAATAAACAGATGATTTTATAATATACTTAAAACACATTACACTTAAAACAGATGTATCTCTCTAAATTTCCCATTGATAAAATCATTAGCAAAGCAATGACTTATGTGAAATATAAATATTTTTTTGAGAGGCTCAGGTCAAAATAGTGGAGTGATCCTTGGTTCTTCTTTCTCTTATAATCCTTATTTAATCCATCAACAAACCCTTCTGGCTTACCCTCCAGAATACATCCAGAATACAGAAGCCACTATGTTTCTTGCTTTGAGAATTTCCATAGCTGGACATATTAATTAAAGAGCTTTTAGAGAGAATATTTAGAGATATAGAAATGAAACTGGCATAAAACTATATTTATAGCAGTGCCCTACCTCTTCCATCAAGGTCTGTTGAAAAACTGCACGAATGGAGAGACAACACTGATGGAAATTCTTTATTAGCTGAGGATGGATAGAGCCGCTTAGCTGGGCCACTTCTTCATGGGTAGGAGTAATAAAGATCCCTTGCACTGTTTCTAAAGCAACATAGTGGAAAAGTGTGTTCTCAGGACCAGATGTCAATCTTGGGGAAAAAAAAGATATTTAAGCAAATGTAAAAATATTGCTTCATTTTGAATTGTGTAGATTCCTAATTACTATTTTATCTACAATACTAGTGCCCCGGTGCATGAATTCGTGCACATTGAAAGGCAATTAATTAGAAGGTGGCTGGCAGGGTGGGACTGGGCTAGATGGACACGCCCTGGAGCCAACCTCCTGCAGTTCTTCCCTAGCTGGCCACACCAGGGACAGCACTGCGGCTCGAAGGGTGTCTGCGGAGTGAGCGGGGTCCCTCTGGCAGGTGGGGTCCCTTGGCCTGGCCTGTGGGGATTGGGATGAAACCGGCTCTTGACATCCCCCAAGGGGTCCCAGAGTGCGAGAGGGTGGTTCTTGGGTGATACACCCCGGAATCGGTCTCCCTCTGCAGCTCGGCAGCTCCTGCATTGAGTGTCTGCCCCCTGGTGGTCAGTGTGTATCATTGCTACTGGTCGGAGCGTCTGCCCCCTGGTGGTCATTCCACATCATAGCTACCGGTTGGACAGTCGGACAGTCACTTAGCAATATATATATATATTAGGAGTCTAATTAGGGAAGAAAAACTAGGCCAAACATTTCATTCCCTCATTTAATTCCCTCTTCCTCTTTAACTGAAGTACAGACTAGTGTTATTATCAATTCCCTAATGGAGGCAAGTATTATAGAATTGATAAACAAACACCAATTCACTTGCAAGTAACTTAATTCACCCCTTTGCTACACAACCCAAATTGGCCAATCCCCTTTTTTTCCATTGTTGGTAATAAATAACTTAGCCCATGTCTGGCCCAGATCTCTTCAAGCCATAAACATGCTATCAATCAAGGGTGGATCACATATAAAAACATCTTTCAACAAACTAAATACATTTAAGTTAGCAGCATTAAAGCCTTTTACCATGATAGTTAAATTGATTATCTTGAAGAAAAATAAAATTATCACTAACTGCAGAGTTGGGTTAATATTCTAGATTACAATGGCAATTACTAGTTGTATTCTATTTCTCATTAATAGTCTTACTTTTCTTCTGTATTCTCTTAGTATTTTTATTTCTCCTTTCTTCTTCTTCTCTATCCTTTCATCCCCTATTTAGCTCTCAAATAGGCCAGCAGAATCTATAATAATAATATACTGAATACCCTCTTTGTGCCAGGGTAGATACTTTAAAATATCTTAGTCTTAATTCTCATAATGACCCTGCAGGGTAGTAAATATTACCATCCTTGTTTTAACCATGAAGAAATCAAGGTTCAGAGGACTTGGATTAACTTTCTTGAAGTCACATAGCTAAGTGGCACAGCTCAGCTGACTCTGTAACTTGATCTACTATACCTTGCTTTCTTTTTCTCTACTGCTGACTTCTGATTGGCAATCTTTAAATATATAGACAGCAGTTCCCCATCAGCATCTCAAATATTCAGGTTGCCCCATTCTAATTCTGGTATCTATAGTAAAATATTTCTTCAGTTGATTTTTTTTTTCCAGCCATGAGCACAGAGGCAAGCAAAGGCATATTTCGGCTCTTAGCCTAGATACTGCCTCCATTATCTCTGTGAGGTACTGGGAATGAGCACTCTGGGATAAGGAGTATCTGAGCAGCATACCACAGCATCTACTACAGCATAAAAATAGTAAACTCTAAAAATTAGACACACAAAAGGGAGGTTACCTGTTGAAGAGAGATAAAGGGTGGCTTTCACATTTTGAACTATTATTTTATATGTGTCTTTTTTAAAATCCTCACCTGAGGATACCTTTTCCATTGATTTTTCAGAGAGAATGGAAGAAAGGGAGAGAGAGAGAGAGAGAAACACTGACTGGCTGCCCTTGCATGCACTTGGGACTTGGGCTGGGTATCAAGTCTGCAACCGAAGTATATGCCCTTGACTGGAATTAAAACCATGACCCTTCAGTCGGCAGCTGATGCTCCAACCACTAAGCAAAACAGGCTTGGGTTGTATGTGTTTTATCTCTTACTAGAGCAGGGGTGGGCAAACTTTTTGACTCGAGGGCCACAATGGGTTCTTAAACTGGACCGGAGGGCCGGAACAAAAGCATGGATGGAGTGTTTGTGTGAACTAATATAAATTCAAAGTAAACATCATTAAATAAAAGGGT